TCAATACTCTTCTCCAGCACCACAGCTCAAAGGCATCAATTCTCCTTCTATCCTCCCTAGTCATTGTCCAACTCTATGATGCATAACAAGTGATTGCAAAGACCATGGCCTGTATTGAATGCACCTTAGTCTCCAGAGTGACACCATAGCAAAGAATTTATTATATTCTATAGAAAAATTACCTTATCCCTGATCATAAGTGGGACTTCAACATCTAAGATGGTGGAGATTCCATGTAGTCCCCAAGGAAATATCTGCCAAGAGGTGCCACCTTTTTTTTTAGCTATTGACTTTCCTTACACACACACACCCCTACACATTGAAGACCCTCTTGGCCCCAGAGAATGTCTGCAATAAGAGACACGCTTCTTAGAAAATCTTTTCAGATCTTGGTATTTCACTTGTCCTTGGCTACATGGAGAAACACAAAGTCTCCCAGATCTCTACTGGTTGAGAAGACATCCTTGTCAACCCAGAGGAGGTTTCTGGAGTTTCCTGGACACTGCAGTTGGCGGCCTAGGATTACAGAGATGGAGTGCAGTGGGCCAGCCAAGGGCCGCTGGTATTGCTAGGAGGACACTGGGTGATTTCACATCGTACTTCCTGGTACCTGAAAGCAAATCTTGCCCTCTTAACTTTTAGAGGACAAATTCCTTCTTTACCAGAAGGGGCTGGATGCTATAAAGAGGTGAAAGGTTCTCTTAACAAACCCTTTGGGTTTCTCTTCTAGGACGCTGTATAATTTCTACCACTACTTCTACATGGTGACTAACACACTTTTCTACGTCAGCTCGGCAGTAACTCCTGTCCTCTACAATGCTGTGTCCTCGTCCTTCAGGAAACTCTTCCTAGAAGCACTCAGCTCACCCTGTGGACGGCACCATCCTAGTGGGCCATTACCCCAGGGAGCCTCAGAACCCTACCCTAGCAGGGACAGTTCTGGGCTCTGGGGATCCCCCAGAAACCATGACCTAGATGAAATGCAAGAATGAGCAGCTCAGACTGCTCAGGTGTCTAGTATATTGTTGTTGTAATGTGCCATTGAGTTGCCTGCTACTCATAGTGATCCTATGTACAACAGCCCTAAACCCTGCTCTGTGCTACGCCAGTCTTTACTCCCATTACCTCAGTCACTGAATTAATCCATCTTATCGAGAGTCTTCCCCTCCCAAGCATGACATCCTTTTCCAAGGACTGGTCCCTCCTTGTAACGTGTCCAAAGTATGTCAGATGAAGCCTCAAAATCCTTGCCTCCAAGGAGCAGCCTTATTTCACCCTCTCTAGTATGAACCTGTTTGTTAGCATTTAGATAAGCAATTTTATCCCTAGTAATTCCAGTTTGGCCATCAGATAGATTAACATGGAACCCCAGCTGGGGTACTTACTAGCTGTGCCACTGTATGTAAGTCACTTATCACTTCCTAGCCTCAGTTTCCTCATCTATATAATAGGACTCTGGGTGAATAATAGAAATAATAGTACTTACTGCCTGAGGATTACCATGCTTAAAATCTTGCCTGGTGCACAGCAAATATTCAATAAATTTTAGCTGGTATTATTTTTGCTGTCTTGTCATTATTAATGCTGTTTTCGGCTATCTTGAAAGTCTACCACATTTCTTCTGTCACCTTCCCCACATGCCCTGCATGTGGCTGTAAGCGCAAGACGTCCTACAAACACCACTACCATCGGGTTGAGTTTGTCTCACAACCACCTTTCTTTGGATTTCTGACCTGGGGTTTCAGTCTTTCCAGGAGGAGACCCCTCTTTCTCCCACAGAGCAGCTGGTAGATTCAAACTGGTGATCTTTCTCATTACGAGCACAAACATGTAACACTCCATACCACTACAGTTTCTGGGATTTTTTTTTCCTTACCAGTTTTCACAAGTGTGAAATTGAAGTGTCGACAGAAGATAATTGACATTGTTATACCATTTGAACTGTAATCATGAAAGTCACAGGGGCAAATAGTGAGTGAAGACACCAACCATTCTGTAGGTATTAGAAACCCCTGAGTGACTAGCTTCTGCCTCACTTGTCTCTGACCTCTGTCCTGTATGCCTCGCCTGTACCGATGGGACTGTGAACGTGTGACTGCTTGCTGGTGTTACCTGCCTCCCACAGACAACATATTCTGGTGAACACAGAGTTAGAAAACCCGAGTTGTATTTTCACCAGAGTAAACTCTTGTCATGTGACAGCAGGCCTGGGGGCGGGGGGGGGGGGAGGCCTCCATTGTTTGCACAAGGCCAAGTCTGTTTTCTAGTGCCTGCCTTGCATCTCAAAGTCTGTGAGGCATCAAGAGAGAATGGAGAGGGTTTTTTTCCTATAAAGGGCTGGTCTTTAGAAAAAGCTGAGGTAAAACATAAACAAAGGAGACAGCTTATCTTTCTCCCAAGGGGCTGCCGGTGGTATCCACCTGTCAGAGATGCTTCACCTTTGAGTTAGCTAAGCAACGAACTGCCAGAGCTCACTTGTGATGGAGTAGGAAAAGATCAAAGTTATAGAATGGAAAGACCAAAAAAAAAAAACAAAAAACAAAAACGGGGGGGGGTTGGCTTATTAACTGCATTTCTTTTCCCCCAAACTCACTCTATCCACCTCACTCCCATACTAGTATACATGTACACACTTCACATTGAAACACACCACTCCCTTTACTGCCAATTTCGTGGAGAGTGAGGAAGAGGGGTAACCACAGCAAAGAGAAAGAGAAGGGCACTTTGTGAGAATGTTGTGTACTATCGAGTCAGAGCTGACCCACAGCTGACCTTCCAGTGGGTTTTCAGAGGCAGTAATCACATGGGAGGACTGTCCTTTTCTCCCATGGAGTGGCTGTTGGATTCGAACTACATGCCTTCAGGTTTGCAGTGCAGCTTCTTGCCACTAGGCCACCAGCGCTCCCTATTAGGAATACATATGTCAAAACACATGAATGTAAATTACCTTTGTACCTCTGGTTTAAAAAAAATACGCAAGCATTTCTATTTGTCTGGTTGGTGACTTTGATAGCTTGCTTGCTTGTTTTGTCAAAACCAAACAGACCCATCTCAGGGCCAGAGACCTTGAAAACTTTCCTCAAACTTCTTACTATGATGCATAATTGTCCACCTAGCCCACCCTTCTGAGCAGGGTAGATTGTCAGCCCCGAGACACACTTCTTCAGAGAGCTATTGTAGCTGGAAGTACCAAGTGGGAAAATAAGTGCTCACCAGAATTTTAGAAAGACAGAGGAAAGAAACTGGGACAGTTTATTTAATGATGGACAAAAGCAGTCATGGGATTCGCCTTTCTTCACTAGGCATGAAGGGCTTTAAAAAATCTGCACAGGTCCTTTTAACCATCTTGTTCATTAAAATGCTAGGCTCCTCTGAGCTTGAAAATATGCTGAGACAAAAGAAGTAAAACTGAATAGCAGACTGTCTGCACTGAATCTGAAGCCAGGCAATGGAGATTTAATGCATGTTTGTTCATGGTTTCTAAGGGGTTCATCCAGACCCTTGATGGCATGTATTATATTCGGTACCACTTCCAACAGGCAAAAAAACCACTGTTCTTCATCTCCCCCCACCTCATATAGTTTTGCTTCTGATTAATTATACTTCTTTTTAAAAAATGTATTATTTTTGTGTGTGTGTACTGTCAAACCAGATCTGACTGGTACAGGAGGAAATTGTCCCTCCTTCTCTGGCAGAGCATCTGGTGGATTCGAACCATGTACCTCTGGGGTTGCAGTGCAGCTTCTTGCCACTAGGCCATCAGAGCTCCCCTTAATTATACTTCTTAAGGTATTCTTGACTTTACCAATTCTGAGAGAGGTTATCACCTTTAGTATTAGCTTTATCGGCGACCTCTCCAGAGTAGTGAGAAGCAATGATGTCATTATATAGACTAAGGTGTGCCTAAATCCAGGCCATGGTCTTTGCAATTACTTGCTATGCAGCAGGGTGTTGGACAATGACTAAGAATGACAGAAGAAGAATTGATGCCTTTGAGATATGGTGCTGGAGAAGAGTCTTGAACATACCATGGACCACAAGGAGAAGAAATAGGTTTATCTTAGAGAGGATGAAGACAAGTTTCTCCTTAAAGGCAAGAATTTTGAAGCTTCAGCTCACATACTTTGGGCACATGACCAGGAGGGACCAGTCCTTGGAGAAGGACATCATGCTCGGAAGGGTGGAGAGAGAGCACAGGAGAGGAAGACTCCGGATGAGACGGATTGACACAATAACTGGGGTAATGGGGGCTGGTGTGTTGGAGTCAGTGAGACTGGCTCAGGACAGGGCAGGTTTCAGAGGTGTTGTACAGGGTCACTATGAGTCACAGGTGACTCAATGAATGGCACATTAGTGTTGTATGTACTAGGAAGTTCCCTTTTGCCTGCTTGTTCTATTTACTATAGATTGTCTTTGATTACTGGATTCTGGACATACTGTGTTGAGGAGATGCATATAGCTTGTCTTCACAAGTCTGGTTTCCCCGTGCCCTCACCCTCCTGTTTGGATTCCCAAACTGTCTGCATTAGCCTTAGCTAGGGGGAGTATCAGGTTAAAGTAGGAAAAAATGCAAACAATCAAGGGATCTTCCTGCTCCAAACTCACTGACTGCTGTTGAGTCTGTTACTACTCATAGTGACCCCTCACTGGGATTCTGAGGCTGTGAATTACAAAAAAAGACCGCCTTTCTTTCTCTCAAGGAGTCATGGGTGGATTCAAACAGCTGGAAATGAGAGGTCCTCTGCTTAGCAGCTTGACGGCAGCTTTACCCTGCGCCACCAGAGCTTCCTTGCTCCAAAGTAGTTTCCCGTTAACCATCGTGGCAAATGCTCTGAGTCCCCTCCCAGCTTCTTTATTCCCACTGGAATGCAGGGCTCCCCTAGAAATACCCTCAGTTGTGGTAGGCTACCCTGCACACTTTATGTGGGGGTTCCCTCTGGTTTTGCTTTTGTTACACGATTCTCCATTCCCCCCCCCTTCAGAAATCTTTCAAGCTATACCCCTACCGTAACAAATTTACTCTTACTTCATTTTAAAACATCCTTTCTTTAATCCCATTAGGTTTTAAGTAGGTGACTCCTGGAGAAGCAGGTGGCTATACTACTGTTAGGTGCTATCAAGTTGAACCTACCTAGTAACTAAACTATTGTTGTTTTGTGATTATCCAGTCAAGCTGACCCTCCAGCGGGTTTTCAGAGGCAGTAAATTGTACAGGAGACCACTCATCTTTCTCCTCTGCAGCAGCTGCTGGATTTGAATGGCTGTTGGGTTGTAAGTGCAAATCCCTACCCCCAGGCCACCAGCACTCCCCAAAACAATGAAATTAATACCCAGCAAAGAAACAGTAAATGCATCATACCTTTTATTTTTAAGAACGAAATAGATAACAATATCTGTTTTTTCCAAAGTTTAAATTAACTAATAAAATGCTGAGAAGTGTCAAGAAATTATTATTTACAAAAGACTACCAAAGGTGGCTAAGTTTTTATTCCAAAATAGGAATAGTGACATGTACAAAGTGATCATTTTACAAACATTGATCTTAATTTTTTATATGCATGGAATTTTTTTCTTAGGAAAGAAAGAAAGATTGATATTAATTCTTTGGCATAATTTTTAAAACAATTTCTTGGATTTCTATCCATTCGAGTGCTTATAAATGTTGGAAATCCATGTATAAGGAGGCATTCTATGATTAACTCATAAATTTGAAACTCTAAGGTGAGGAGTCCTGTATCTTGAAAATTTTACTTCAGTTACAGGCGATTCCAAAGCAGTGCAGTATTGGGAGAGGAGGTTGGGGGTTGCAGGGAGATACTTTGGAATACTGAAACTAGGGATGTGGATTGTGTTTACTCTTCTTCCCAGATGTGTGATCTTGGTTGAGATGCTTTCTCTGCAGCTCTATCTTTCAAATGGAGTGAGTAACTGGAAACGAGGTTTTGGCAAGGATTAAATAAGACAGTAAATGTAAA